CCACAAAACTAATAATTACATGATGGTTAATGACAGGACAATTTTGTACTACTCATAATGCTAATATAGTCGGAACCAGTAGATACACAATAGAAGGAATATAGTAAAGTACAAAAGTAAGCCAATGTTAATAATTTAGGTAGCTAAGTAAGTGTGAGAAGGAGTTCACTGTAGAATACAAAATAAGAGAGAAATAAAAGTGCCTAAATTATGTTGTTAATAACAGAGCAAGTCATAAGTTTCACGATTAACATTGTCTCTGTCGCTTAGAACAAGACAGAGACAATAATAATGTAATCCAACTACATTAGAAAAGAATACAAAAACAGAATACAAAAGCAAAATAATTGTGAAATTAGTAATGATAACATAAATAAGAGAGAATATAAGTCATCCACAGCAGTTTTACCATATAAGGAGGGGAAATCTGAAAGTCTCCTTACGTAGGATTCTTAATAAGAAAGCAGGAATTAGGGTGGTGGCATTCAAACCTACAAATTTACTCAGGTAGGACAAGCTGTGCGGGTTGAAGGAACCTGCTGACCCAATTAGACAAAATAATGTAAGAACAAAACACGTAGATCAGCGAAGGGTCTCTTTTCAGCGAATTCATTTTCTTAGCTGTACAATCGCAAATATATTTGTCATAATAATAATAATCTGCTTGATTCCGAAAGCAGTACTTGTATCTCACCTATTCTACTTTACTGCTCCCCGTTAGTCTTTCCTGGGCTACTGAAAAAGGACTATACCATCCTGAGAAGGATGTTGAAGGTAGTTAGTAGGACTAGTGGTGTAAAACTCAGTCAGCTCGTCACTACATTAGTAGAAAGGCATCTGAATACATGCGAAAAATGGTCTAAAACCATACTCTCCGACCCCCAACACCCCCTCTATTCCCAACTCTCTCCTTGTATCTCATCAAGTAGAACCAGAAATAAGTATAAAATAATCTATGCTCGTACAACCAGGTACAGGAACTCAACGATACTCAACCATACTTGGCCCGTGTTCTAAGTGACAGAGACAATGTTAAGCGCGAACCCCATGACTTGTTTTGTTGTTAATAATAATAAATTTAGGCTCTTTTATTTCTCTCTTATTTTGTATTCTACAGTGAACTCCTTCTCACACTTACTTAGCTACCTAAATTATTAACATTGGCTTACTTTTGTACTTTACTATATTCCTTCTATTGTGTATCTACTGGTTCCGACTATATTAGCATTATGAGTAGTACAAAATTGTCCTGTCATTAACCATCATGTAATTATTAGTTTTGTGGTTGGTTTTTTCTTAATTTTTTTTTCGGCAATATTAATTGACAATCATTGGTTGTGAACGCCATTATCACCACCTTAAAATTTTGTATTATTCAGGATTACTCACAATACCCCTACAAACACTGCATTGGACCTGACAATAAAAAACAACCCTGAAATGTTATTTTATGATTGTTTAGTGTTGGTTGTTTCAACCAAATTAACAGATCAAATTGGCGATAAACTTTCTTAAATATCATTTCATAACTTCTTGTATGACTATAGCTATACTGTCACCATGCATAATCATATCATAGCTTTCACTACACAATACTGAGATATTATTCATTATGTTGTTTACTTTCCTTTCTACTTCCTGATATTTTTTCGCATTTAAAAAAATTATTTTGTGTTTTTCCTGTTGTTTTTTTGCTGTTGGTGTCTTTATATTTATTATTTTTTTGAAATACTCCTTTTAAATGTTTGATAAAATTAGATGCAAATATTGTAGATATGTGCTGAAAATTCCACACTGTACCACTAGTACTGTTTCTGGAATAAAGCAAATTATTATTATTATTATTATTATTTACAAAATACCTTTTAATGACTGTCAGTTAATTCAACTAAATAGGTCAAACTAGTAGGTCAGGGGTAGTCAGATTGTCGGAACATATGAATCTAGCTAACGTAAGAATAGTTGACCCCGTGAAGATAAATAATTTAGAAAAAAGCACTCAGCACTACATTGCACTCCACGCATTAACAAACAACCACACAATAGCATGTTGGGAGAGGGTTAAAATTATTACTGAATCCTGCCTGGTTCATCGGGTCATCACACCCAACACATGCAACAGAAATGACTCATCATCGAAAATACCAGAAATATGGAAGATATTATTACCATCAGTCAGTCAGTCAAATCAGAGGAGGATAATAAATAATCGTAAATTGTATTCTATTTCAATTCAATTCACGTACATCATCATAACAGTCTAACAAGTCACTTATTTTGACTATAAAAACACTCGTCTTATTTCCTATCTTACTACTGCATTTGATCAATAATACTTATATTTTTATTATTACTTCTGAATGTACATTATCCCATATTACTGATTTGTATTCAAATGTCTAATCATCAGTTCCACTCATGTATATAAATGAAGTAAGAAATTCATTTGTGTGAGTGAGTGACTTGATATGATTATGAGTCACAATGATAACGGTATTACCTTGAACCCCTCCAAATGTCAAACAATCATTGTCACCTTGAGTCATAAATGCGACCAAAACAAACTGCTTGGCTCTCACGAGGTATGCAACATGGAGATGGCACTGAAATAGAAACCAAGTCGGAAATTAAATATCTAGGCGACATTCTATCTGCTGATCTCTCCTGGTCGTCTCATATCTTGGCGATTTCTAAGAAAATATTCCGTCTTACCTTCGAAATCAAGAAGTTAAGACATTCTGGCATAACTCAACCCAACCCTTACTCCTACAATTCGTTTACTCTCGCATTCTGCCTATTATTCTCTATTGTTCCCTGGGCTTAGTTTTTCCCGGGCTACTGAAGAAAGACTATAACATATTACGCAGGATGTTAAATTTTGTCAGCAGGGTAAGCAACGTGCCACTTAACCAGCTTGTTAATATTCTGGTCGACACGACAGGCACTTGGAATCATATGAAAAATGAGGGCCAAATCCATTTTATCTGACTCACACCACCCTCTTCATTCACAACTCTCCCCTTGTATCTCATCAGGTAAAACCAGAAGCCTATATAGAAAACAATGTGCTCGCACTAGCAAGTACAAAAACTCAACCATACTCTACTAGGCTCGTGTTCTGTGTAATAAAGAAAGCATTAGGCGTGACACCTATAATTCATTAAATAGTCAGTAGAACAATTGGACCTCGTCTTTCCAACTCATATCATTTATAGGTACAACGTTTTCTTTCTTTCTTCTCTTTTTTCTGTTATGTGCTGCTTTGTTTCTTTCTCCCGCTTACGCCAGTAATTATGATAGCACCCACTTTTCTAACACCTTTAAACACTGTTCAGCTTTACCTTTGCTACCGACATGCCAATGTGTTGTTGTAATAATGAACTGAGGTTTCCTCAATCTATGTAGAATTCTATTTATTGATAATGTTCTCATTGGATGCAGTATTGTAGTAAAAATGCTGAGAATTCCATTCTGTATCACAAGTACTGTTTTGGAATAAAGCAAATTATAATTTTGTATTATTATTATGAATAACTGTACCACCCACATACTCATTCCTATAAGTTTCAGGTAAACATTTGGGCGAATTTCAACATCGAAATATTTATACACCTGATTTTATCGAGATGAAAATAAGCTGCTTTTCTTTTCTACGTCAATAACATGCCTGATAAAAGGCAAAGATACTTATCGACAACTCTGCCTGCTTGCTATCGAACGTGGTAGGCAGAAGTGATATATTAAGTAGTCTGATTGAATTTTTGAAAATATTGATTAACTGCCTTACAATATATATTTATATATCAAATGACGTCAATAAAAGCCTGTTATAAATGTCAGTCGTGTATCTGAAACTGCAGAGAATCGAAATTCACTAGAAGGAAATTGGTGTAAAAAGAGACTCCTCAGATGAATTTTTACATGGACTGACACACATTTCCAGCTACAGACAGATTATGACCAATAATCGACTGATTCTACTGCTATCAATACATTCACCTAATCCTACTCCAAAGATAATATGGTGGAGGTATGTGGATGACACTTTCACTCACACAGTGTTGAAAACAGAACAGACCTCTCTCTCTAGCTTCTTAAGACATATAAACTCACAAGTAGAGGGAATAATATTCACATTTTAATCAGAAAATGAACAAGGAGAATTAGCTGTGATGTTAGATTGTAAGATAAAACGAATAGAAGAAGGCAAACTACTGCACACTAGTGTTTATAGAAAACCAACGCATTCTGCAAATAGATATTCAGACTTTAATTCGTCTGATCCGTAGTGATCTGTTAAGGCAGGCTTAGTGAAGTGTCTGAGAAACCAAGCCATAGTACTAAGTAGCACAAAAAAAGACCTAGATGACGAAATAAAACAGATAGAAGAAGCGTTGGTGTTAAACAACCAACTATCCTATAAATCTCAAAATTCCATTTCAATTCACGTGCATCATCACAACATTCTAACAAGTTACTTATTATGAATAAAGAAACACTCGTCTTATTTCCCGTGTGATTGCATTTGATCAATAACACTCATGTTATTACCTCTGAATGTAAATTATCCCATATTACTGATTTTTATTCCAATATCTAGTCAATCCCATATATATATATATATATATATATATATATATATATATGAAGGAAAAAGTTGTGTGAGTGAGTAACTAGATACAACTTTGAGCATGTTTGTGCTCGAAACGTGGTCGCGTCAGTTAATATTACTGTGTAACACTAGACTACACTGTGTGACAATTTATCAAAATCAAATCTTATCCATAATGCAGTATTGTCCATTACTAGTTTCAGAATTATTTTGCTTTTGTATTCTGTTTTTTTATTCTTTTCTAATATGTAGTTGGATTACATTCTTATTGTCGTCTGTCTCCTATTGGTCGATTTAAATCTAAATTTCAATTGGTCCATATCTCTACTTTTATATTTACATGTTGAAAAAGTCGATCGTAGCATTTTGATTGTTCTCTTCGGACATCCATTACGCCTGATCATTTTCATCATTATCATCAACATGATTTTCTCTCGCCTGCCTTTAATTGCCTTGCGTAACGCGAAATTTCCACTACGTCAAGCTCATTCAAAATCTGCATGTGAAAAACAAGGAGTACTGAAATGGGCATGTCAAAATTATCCAGTTGTCTATCTTGGAGGATTAATCTTTGGAGCTGTTTCCGCGATAACACTTTACACAATACGATGTTTACTACAGAATCCTGACCTGTTTCTTCCATTCTATGATAAGATTCCACGTGATGAATACTACTTTGATAAACATTATTTTGGTGCAAAACAACCCGAGAATATGGATGTCCTCCCGCCAGTTCGAATGCATCATGATGGAGTACTAGAATTTCCATATGAAAATCATAGTAGAAAGTATGTGCATCCTCCTGAATAATAATAATAATAATAACATTATTATTATATGTGTTGCTATGACTACTGATGAACACTAAGAAGGTTAGTCATTATTGTCAGTGTTGAATTTCTCACCAAAATCATCATATTCTACATCTTTGCATAGTTCAAAGACAATAAATTGTTGTTTTTTGTTTTGTTCCCTCTAACTTCTTTATTCCTCTCTCTTATATAATCGAAATAAAAGCACTCGGTGGAGATGGAATTAATCGCCTACATTCGATGATACTCTTTCCCCATAATAATAATAATAATAATTATAAGAAAAGGCACAAACAGCAAAGAATAAAACTTTCTTTTCGACGATTCATTCATTTTCATGAGCTGCTGTACAATCGTAATTATATAATTAACAAAGAAATCTTTAGACCAATCAGATACTGGTAAATTTTTGTCCTTGGAAAATTGTATTACAAAATGTAAGGTGTAACCTAGAAGGGATGACTAATTGTAAGTTAGAAAGGAGACAGAAGTCGTCGGTATGACGTAATAAGTGTGAGATAATGAATAATCAATAAGCTCGTGTAAAATGGACAGGAACTAGTGGAAAGGCTATAAAGTGTTTTTATATAAAATATGTATGAAAAACAATGTTATTAATAAACAGTAATAGAGTGGTAATAAAGTGTGGATGATAAGAACAATAATGATAATAAAAAAGTATTAATAAAATAAAACATTAATAGCATTAATAGTGAACTTACATAATAAAGGAAAGAAGCGAAATTGCGGTGAGAACTTTACTCTGTCCATGGTAGGGCAAGAGAATGTATGTATCGCTTTTGTATGCAGAGGTCCGGTTTTAGATCTCGAATAGCTAATGCTTCAGCTATGTACAGATGGCGAATCCGAAGTTCTTTTGTACGATATTAAGGGACTCTGTGTAACACTGTGAAGCATTCATGTGGGGGTGCTCGATATCCAGAGATGACAAGGTGTTCGAGGATTGAGCTGTTGCTATTCTTCTTTTCTCCTCTGGCCGACCAAGCTGGGCAGTGTTCCAGAATACGTTTTTGTGGACTTGACGTTGCGTACGACCAATATACTTTGCTCCACACGAGCAAGTAAATTGATAAATACACAGTGAAGTGGCCAAAAGCGGTATCTTGTCCTTAGCGTTAGACTGGATTAACTGTCTGCAGGAGAATGTGATACGTAGAGTGGCTGTTGGAAATGTCTTCTTCAGACATTTAGGAAGGCGGTTGCTGAGAATTTCCGCTACGACATCACCTTTGAATTCTAGGTTTATGAAGAGAGTCTTCTTGGGAACCGTTGCGATGTTTGACACCGGAGGCTTCTCCTTCATGTTTTTGTCAATAAATCTTGGTGGATGCCCATTCTCTGGTAGGGTTTTACGTAATAAATTTAATTCTTTCTGTACCATGTCTTCCGAGCAGATTTTTCTAATCCTTGAGCACAACGTACGTACCAGGTTTCTCTTTTGGATTAGTGGGACAAAGCTCTGGAAGTAAGTAAAAACACAGTTTTTTTTGTTCAGCGAAGAAATTTCTTTTCAACGAATTCATTTTCAAGCTGTACAGTCGTTTTTGTATTACAGAAAAGGTCATTAAGTGGCACTAAATAATTGCTCAGTCAATATACATATATGTGATAAGAATAACGATAATTAAAATGTTATAAGGGGTAGAGTTGAAGTGGATAAATTACAAAATTATTAAAGATTGTTTTATAAGTGAATTGAAATCAAAAATGTTTTTAAAATGTCAAATGTTGTCTAAAAATTTTAAAAAATTAGGAGTACGATTACGATAATAATGAAGATGTGAAGTGGAAAGAATTCAAGTGGTAAAATAAAACAAAGTAAAAACTAGAAAGAACATTACTATGACCAAGATAAAGAAAGGGGTTTGACAAAACGTTTTTGAACACATAATTTAGATTTCTGTTCATGTATAGCTAAAGCTTCGACTATGCATAAGTGAAGAAAACGTAAACTTTTGGATCGATTCGATTTCGCCATGTAGATAACTTTGAAAGATGAATCACGTGGGGCTAAATGACCTGACTCTAACAGGTGATCACAGATAGACGACGACTTCGCAGTTCTACGTTCGCCTTTCATTAACCAAACTGGATAGTGTTCAGCTACACGTTTTCGGAGATTACGCTTACAACGTCCAATATAAACAGCTCGACAAGAGCAGGTAAAAGAGTAAATACACATAGATGTGGACAAAAGCGGTAATCTATCCTTGACGCATTGTCTAATCATATTACGGCTGGTAAAACTAGTTGCAAGTCAGCTGCAGGAAAAGTACGTTTAATACATTTAGATAAACGATTTTTAATCAATTCCGAAATGGAGTCACCTTTGAATGCCAGACTCATAAACAGTTTCTTCTTTGGCACTGTAATTTGTCTAGGGGCGGATTCTTTCTTGATGTTACGTTCGATAAACCTTGTAGGATAACCATTGTTGAGGAGATTTGATCGAAGCTTATCTAGTTCACTATCGATTGTCTCTGCAGAGCAGATTTTACGAATTCTGAAGCATAAGGAATGAATAAGATTTCTCTTTCTCCCTAACGGTACCCAACTGTTGAAGTTAGTGTACTGCCCAGTGAATGTCGGCTTTCGGTAAATCGACTTTAACAGCGTACAATTCTCTCTTTATTCTAGATTAACATCAAGGAAGTGAAATGAGGAATTCGACTCTTCTTCGGTCGTGAAAAGCAAAGATGGGTGAGAACCATTAAATACTTCAAGAAGTTCGGCAGTTGAAGAGTTTTCGTCACATACAATGAATGTGTCATCTATAATGGATAAGATTTTATTTTGATAAAGTGTCACACAGTGTTGTACAGTAATATTAACTGATGACCACGTTTCGAGCACAATTCATTATTGCCACTCATAATCATCATATCAAGCCACTCACTCACTCACACAACTTTTTTCCTTCATTGATATACATGTGTGGAATCGATTACATATTGGAATAAAATTCAATGTGAGATAATGTACATTCAGAAATAATAGTACGAGTGTTATTATATCCATTACGATTAGATGGGAAATACGATGAGTGTTTCTATAGTCATAATGAGATATTTGTTAGAATGATTTAATGTGTTTGAATTGAAATAGAATTTTGAGATTATTTATTATCCTCCTCTGATTTGACTGACGGTAATAATATCTTCCACATTTCTGCTATTTGCATTGAGTCACTTCTGTTTCATGTGTTGTGTTGGGTGTAGACTCGATGCACCAGTCAGGATTCAGTAATCAACCTCTCTCTATCTCCACTCACCTAGATTACTTTCTAGAATTTTAACTCTCTCCCACCACGTTATTGTGTGGTTGTGTGTTAATGCGTGAAGTGCAATTGCTGAGCTTTTATCTAAATTACTTATCTTTTCAGGGTCAACCATTCTTACCTTAGCTAAATTCTTATGTTCTGATAATCTGACTATCCCTGACCTACTAGTTTGACCTATGTAGTTGACTTAACTGACAGTCATTGCAGGGTATTTTGTAAATTATATTATTTTGTCTAATTGGGTCAACTGGGTCCTTTAACTTACAGAGCTTGTCTCTGAGTAAGTTTGTAGGTTTAAATGCCACCGCCACCCTCATTCCTGCTTCATTTCGAATCCTACGTAGAGCCTCTGATATCCCCTCCTTATATGGTATAACAGTAGCAATAGTTTGTGCTCGAAACGTCATCAGTTAATATAACTGTACAACACTGTGTGACACTTTATCAAAATAAAATCTTATCCATTATGGAGTTATTCTGTACCACAGTGTCCAAGTTTTATACTTATATCAAGGTGTCATCTATGTATCTTTTATACATAAACAAACTATCGATTGTTTCCTTTAGTGGGCCATTCTCTAAGAGCGGTCCTAAAGGAGACCCCATTGCGACTCCATCCCTTTGATTGTAGATGACATCATTTAATCCTAATTGCACATGCAGTGTTCACATATATGTATATTGACTGAGCAATTATTTAGTGCCACTTAATGACCTTTTCTGTAATACAAAAACGACTGTACAGCTTGAAAATGAAGTCGTTGAAAAGAAATTTCTTCGCTGAACAAAAAAACTGTGTTTTTACTTATGAATAAATGGGTATTTTTTGTGATTATTATGATTGCCAAGTTATTCTGTAGTATAGTTGTACTGTGCACACTGACAAAAGATAATCCCTTTGTTTTTTCAAAAGAGCATACTAAAACCAAGGTAGGCTTTTATAACTGTCTAAATAAACAACTTCTATAAGCCTACCTAGATATATCTTTTGTGTACTGTTTAAACGCCGTAGTAGGGACTTCGATTCAGTGCTTGCTTCTGTTAACGCTGGTGAGAAATTACACATTTGTCCCCGACAACATATTAACTGGCTTCGTGAAATAAACTTCGGGCGTTCGATTCCTTAGGCGGGGGTGGCGTCGTGAGTTCAAGCCGCTGAAGAGTAGTCCTTAACTAGGAAGAAACAGCTGTGCAGCGTTTCTCTAATTCATATTGGTTCACAACGAAATCTACCCTGCCATTTATCCAAATTCCTACAAAACCCATACATAGTCTGGACACTTATTTAATATTATAAGCGTTAGTCTAGTGCTTTTTATTGAAACAAAACTCTACGAGGCTGTTCTATTTTCGTTCCTTTTTCCTTCCTGCAAGGCGGCTTAAAGAAGAGATACATCTAAATGTAGAAAATCAAAACAAGTGGTGATTCAGCGAAGAGACTCTTTTCAACAACGAATTTATTATCAAGCTGTACAATCGTATATATATGGGTTTTTTTTAAGAAGTTATATCCGGTGAGGCAATTGAAACATAGGTGTGAATGCATAAAATAATAGTGAAACAATTAGTCCCTTTGATAAATTTGAAATAATAATAATAATATGAAATGCAATTAAAACTAAAATGTTTGTGATTATAATCGTAGTTAAATGTCAAGTTGCAACGAAAATTAATGTCATATAGAGAATAATTCATAG